TGTTGTTACCTACCCTTACCACCTGGGGGCGGCCCGTCAGGAAGTCCAGGATCCAGTTGCAGAGGGAGGTGTTTAGTCCCAGGATCCTTAGCTTAGTGATGAGCTTAGAGGGCACTATGGTGTTGAATGCTGAGCTGTAGTCAATGAATAGCATTCTCACGTAGGTGTTCCTCTTGTCCAGGTGGGAAAGGGCAGTGTGGAGTGCAATAGAGATTGCATCATCTGTGGATCTGTTGGGGCGGTATGCAAATTGGAGTGGGTCTAGGGTTTCTGGGATAATGCTGTTGATGTGAGCCATGACCAGCCTTTCAAAGCACTTCATGGCTACAGACGTCAGTGCTACGGGTTGGTAGTCATTTAGGCAGGTTATCTTAGAGTCCTTGGGCACGGGGACTATGGTGGTCTGCTTGAAACATGTTGGTATTACAGACTCAGTCAGGGACATGTTGAAAATGTCAGTGAAGACACTTGCCAGTTGGTCAGCACATGCTCGGAGTACACGTCCTGGTAATCCGTCTGGCCCTGCGGCCTTGTGAATGTTGACCTGCTTAAAAGTCTTACTCACATCGGCTACGGAGAGCGTGATCACATAGTCATCCGGAACAGCTGGTGCTCTCATGCATGCTTCAGTGTTGCTTGCCTCGAAGCGAGCATAGAAGTGGTTTAGCTCGTCTGGTAGGCTTGTGTCACTGGGCAGCTCGCGGCTGTGCTTCCCTTTGTAGTCTGTAATAGTTTTCAAGCCCTGCCACATCCGACGAGCGTCAGAGCCAGTGTAGTACGATTCAATCTTAGACCTGTATTGACTCTTTGCCTGTTTGATATCAAATCCTACTGTGATGTTTCTGATGGCAACCGGAGTGCCAGATGATCTTGAGGGTTTGTTAACATGCTTTGGTGAGAACAGACCAGGGGTCTTGCCATTCTGAGAATTGAAACTGTAATGATACAATGTACTTTTTGACATTTCTGGGAATGAAAAGACTCACTGAGTTAAATGAGATGAAAAGTGAGGATGAGGATAGATGACATGAGGAGGACTGTATGTTGAAATGAGAAATGCACTGTACCTCCGCCTAGCCTTGTTGCATTCCTGTTTATAGCACTTTGACATTCAATTGATTTTAGTGGACAATTCTGATATTGGCAGCCATAGATATTGCTTAGAGGGATATTTTTCCTACTGTACAAGGAATCTATGAAACATTTATAACAATCAACACTTGACTTGCAAATGGGGTAAAATGTATCCTATAACAAGACAAAGTATCCAATAATACTGCATCGGCTATTAGACCATCTCAGACTCCATCGGTATAATTAATTATACGATTCCATTTCTCCATTGTTTCTGTTCCTTCGAATGTTGTGTTATCTCTGTCAGGTCTAGATAGAATACTGAACCATCCTCAGTAGCATGAATACTAAACACAGTTTGGCTGTGGCACCAAGCTTTGGTCTCAGCCATCTTTGTCTTGCACTCCATGTCATTCTCTCTGATGGGCCTTCAGATTGTATCTGATGTGTCTGAGATCTTTGTATGGTTTTAAAGCAGGCGGCTCAACAGTGTATAGATTAGCCTAATCTACTGGCAAATCCTTCTTTAAATAGTTTGGAATAGAAGCAGGGGAAAATAAAAGATGGCAGGGGGTGATGTGGCACAGTGGTAATGACTGAGAAATGGCAATTTTATGCTAAAAGTTTTCTCAGAACATATGTTCTCGAGTGGTTTTACAAAGGGTAGGGCTATTGAGTTGAAGCAGAGTCACTTAATGTATGGAGTTGTATATAGTCTTGTTGAGTATTTCATGAGTGATTGCTGAATAGAAGTATGGAAAATGTATGCACGCACTAACTGTAAGTCGCTCTGGATAAGAGCGTCTGCTAAATGATTAAAATGTAAAATGTAAATGTAAGTCTATTTTCCAACCCATTCTTCCTTTCCATGCCACTTTGTGGCACACTGTTAATTTTTTACAAATAGTTTTTACAGAACCTTTGTTCTTAAGTGCTTTTACGAACTGTATTGAGATAAAGCAGAACCCAAGGTTACTTTCTATACACAGAGCTAGAAAATTGTATATCACACACTACAAATGGTATATCATACACTACAGTTGAGGAACAATGGGAAAGTAATTGTGTTTTGAAAGTTGATAAACTTGTAACCCCACTTTTGAGAAAATGGCCCTTGAATGTTTTGGTGCAGCTACTGGAGAGCTCTTCTTTGTCTACACCCATTCAGCATTGTTCACACCCTCTTAAGCCTTAGCCCCACCCATCTCTTTAAGAATTTATGTGAGGCCATGTGCTATGGTAGTGTACTAAACAACCAACGATTTCAAGACTAAAGGCTGGATTATACTACGTCTACCGACATGTCTTTAGACAGTTGACGTCAAACATCAAACTTGTCATTGTCGTTATAAAAAAGTATAAACACAAAAACTACAGGCTTTATGACATCAGCAGCCTGGTGGTCCAAAATAGCATAACTGGTGTATTTTAACACCAATAAACCCATCCGTTTAAAAATGAATTTAGCATATGTCAATCTAGCAAACCAGGCAACTAAAAGCAACTTTCTAAACAATGTTTTGGTTCATTTCTAGCTTGTTAGCTAGCTAGCTAACGTTAAGTTAGCTGGCTAGCCATTTCAAATAATGATCATATAGCTGACAATATCTTAACTTTAGCTAATTTGTATTCATTATTACAGGAAAATAAACTCACAATAAGATAATTATTTACAAGTTAATGGCGAGCTAATTACAGAAAATAGCTTATGGTTGTGAGTGTGATGAAACAAAAATAGGGCATTCTACTGGAGAAATGTAGAATTTGTCCCTTACATTATATCCTAATTTGACTTTGGTGTAGGTCATGTTGTTCTTCACATTACCGTCTCTGGTAAACACACACTATATCACATAATGCACATGATACAGAAGGTATAAACGGTACAGTGAAATGGTTACTTGCATAGTGGAGTCTTTTGTTTAGACAATGAACCATAATCCCAACTCATAACGTTACTACCCTGCTTGAATCTGTCGGTAGCTAACTAACTAGCCTTATCGCAAATATCCTATAAGGACATGCCCTTGAACAGTGCCCAAGAGTTCGCTCTTGCATAAAACTCTTGCTCTATCCAAGTAGATGCGCAACACGCGTACTGGACACAAACGCTTTAGATGCTCTTCTTCCGTAGAAGTGAAGGGTGGCGGGTGGAATGCCACAAGCTCCAAGGGGAGACAATTGTAATTGTTGCTGACTTTAGGCATTAAGGCAGGGGTAGGCAACAAAGAAACCTTGGAAAAAAACTGGGTCAAACTGTAGACACCAATGGTGAACTGACAGTATGCAGCTCACTAACTCACTTTGTGGATGTAAGGGCGACCAGTAAAGCAGTCTTGAAGGAGAGATACTTAATCTCCACGCTTTTCAGCATCTCAAAAGGCTGCTGTGAAATAGCCTCAAGAACTATAGACAGATCCCAAGATGGGGCTAAAGGCTTGGAAAATGGACGTGAGCGATGCGCCCCTTCATGAAACGACATAACAAGGGGTGTTTTCCCACTGTGTTATTGCGAAAGCCTATATGACAGGCTGAGATAGCGGCTAGATAGACCTTAACAGTGGAGAAAGCCTTCCCCCTGTCTTGCAAAAAGCATAACACCTCAGATACAGAGCATTGGTAAGGAATTATCTGTTTTTGGTCACGCCGCTTCTCAAAAATGCAACACTTGTTGCCATACATTGAGTGTGTAGAAGGGGCCCTGGCACTCTGGATTGTCTCAATGACTGAGAGGCAGGCCTGTTGCATCCAGATTTAACCTCTCACGGGCAATGCCCAGATGGCCATGGTATCCGGGTGAGGGTAGTACATCTCTCTGTTCGCCTGGGTCAGAAGATCCCTGCGTAATGGGAGTTGCTGGGGACTCATCGTACAGCAGGAGAATGATCTATGCTAACTAGAGCTTGCCTGGCCATGGAGGACTACCGAGATGAGAGATGAGCCTACTTCCCACACTCTGACTAGAGTGGGGAGTATGAGGCTTAGAGGATGAAAAACATAAAGGAACACCCCCGGCCAAGGGTGTGCCAACACGTCCCCAATGGTGCATCTCCTGCACGCGCAAAGAACAGCGGGCAGTGCACGTCTTTGTGCAAAGAAATTTACGGATGTTTGACCATATCTCTCCCAGATCTGTTTCACAACTTGGAGATGGTCTCCATTTCCTATGATGAGGATTCCTTCTGGACAAGTCGGCTCCTACGTTCAGTACGCCTAGGACATGAGTTGCGCGTAGTGAGAGTAAGTGTGCTCTGCTCCACTGAATAAATATTACGGCAAGTCTGTGTAAGCGCAGTGAGCGAGTGCCACCCTGGCGTTTGATGTATGCCACCACAGTCGTATTGTCCGTTCTGATCAAGATGAGACAATTCCAAAGGGAGGGTCGAAAGTGTTTCAGAGAAAGAAGCACTGTCAGCAGTTCGAGGTCATTTATGTGAGCAATGCGGAGTTGTGAGGTCCACACTACGTTTATTGCTTTTCCCTCATGCCCAACCTGTGAGTGACGTGTCTGTCGTGACCACCTTCCTCTTTGCCACTACCCCTCTGGTGGCATTAGAGTGAGTCGCCCTTTCATTGAATTAAAACACTAGGATATGTGGACAGTGCTAGGTGGTGACTAACAGTTTGTGTTCCTGCCTCAGCTACTTGAGAAAGAGCTGAGGTGAGAGATGTGGCACGGAGGGCACTAGGGGGTAGAGTGGGCTCCCTCCGTCTTCCTTGTGAGCAAACTCATAGAAATTAGTCACTGCACGAAAGGAAGGGTTGTAGGAGCACAGATGTGACTCTCCCCCATTGTGATAGGAGGAAAGAGGGGGAGTCTGTGCTCCACCCGAGAGGTGTCAGGCCAGGAGACGGAGTGAACTGTTGGCTGCCTCTCTCTGCCGCTGGGGCATACCCGGAGGTCGGGCACCCCTTCTTCCCCACAGGGGAATCAGCTGGGAGGGACAGGGGAATCAGCTGGGAGGGACTTTGATGCGGCTGCAGCAGAGGATCGTTTCTCCAAACTGTTTGCCTCTGACCTGAGACTTGGACTGTGGGTTTGCAGCCAGCTGCGTCGCTGGTCGCTCAGTTAGCACTTGCTCTAGCAAACTGCCCCTCTCCCTGATGCGGAGCCTTGGCTCATAGAGGGGGAAAGTGGAGGCCGGGTTGCCACGATATCCGGGTCTGCCGGGCAGGTGATGGCAAGGCTAGCTTTGATGCGGTAGCTGATCTTTGTTTTGAGTCTCTTGGACCGGAGTACCTAGTAGGTGGGGCTGGTAAAGTTGATAAGTACAAAAAAGACTCAAGAGACCTAAGCTAGTGGTGAGGCCGTCTCGTTCGGTTAATAGGCACAAAGCCACTTAATGCTAGGCGAACTAAAAAATGAGAGCCAAGCTAGCAATAGCTAGACAGTGGTTAGCTAGTTAGCTTTCGCCGTGACAGCTAATCAAATCAAATCAAATCAAATCAAATCAAATTTTATTGGTCACATGCGCCGAATACAACAGGTGCAGACATTACAGTGAAATGCTTACTTACAGCCCTTAACCAACAGTGCATTTATTTTAAACAAAAAAGTAAGAATAAAACAACAACAAAAAAGTGTTGAGAAAAAAAAGAGCAGAAGTAAAAAAATAAAGTGACAGTAGGGAGGCTATATATACAATAGAATAAAGTGACAGTAGGGAGGCTATATATACAGGGGGGTACCGTTGCATAGTCAATGTGCGGGGGCACCGGCTAGTTGAGGTAATATGTACATGTGGGTAGAGTTAAAGTGACTATGCATAAATACTTAACAGAGTAGCAGCAGCGTAAAAAGGATGGGGTGGGGGGGCAGTGCAAATAGTCCGGGTAGCCATGATTAGCTGTTCAGGAGTCTTATGGCTTGGGGGTAGAAGCTGTTGAGAAGTCTTTTGGACCTAGACTTGGCACTCCGGTACCGCTTGCCGTGCGGTAGCAGAGAGAACAGTCTATGACTAGGGTGACTGGAGTCTTTGACAATTTTGAGGGCCTTCCTCTGACACCGCCTGGTATAGAGGTCCTGGATGGCAGGGAGCTTTGCCCCAGTGATGTACTGGGCCGTACGCACTACCCTCTGTAGTGCCTTGCGGTCAGAGGCCAAGCAGTTGCCATACCAGGCGGTGATGCAACCAGTCAGGATGCTCTCGATGGTGCAGCTGTAGAATTTTTTGAGGATCTGAGGACCCATGCCAAATCTTTTTAGTCTCCTGAGGGGGAATAGGCTTTGTCGTGCCCTCTTCACGACTGTCTTGGTGTGTTTGGACCATGATAGTTCGTTGGTGATGTGGACACCAAGGAACTTGAAGCTCTCAACCTGTTCCACTACAGCCCCGTCGATGAGAATGGGGGCGTGCTCAGTCCTCTTTTTTTTCCTGTAGTCCACAATCATCTCCTTTGTCTTGGTCACGTTGAGGGAGAGGTTGTTGTCCTGGCACCACACGGCCAGATCTCTGACCTCCTCCCTATAGGCTGTCTCATCGTTGTCGGTGATCAGGCCTACCACTGTTGTGTCGTCGGCAAACTTAATGATGGTGTTGGAGTCGTGCCTGGCCATGCAGTCATGGGTGAACAGAGAGTACAGGAGGGGACTGAGCACGCACCCCTGAGGGGCCCCCGTGTTGAGGATCAGTGTGGCAGATGTGTTGTTACCTACCCTTACCACCTGGGGGCGGCCCGTCAGGAAGTCCAGGATCCAGTTGCAGAGGGAGGTGTTTAGTCCCAGGATCCTTAGCTTAGTGATGAGCTTTGAGGGCACTATGGTGTTGAATGCTGAGCTGTAGTCAATGAATAGCATTCTCACGTAGGTGTTCCTCTTGTCCAGGTGGGAAAGGGCAGTGTGGAGTGCGATAGAGATTGCATCATCTGTGGATCTGTTGGGGCGGTATGCAAATTGGAGTGGGTCTAGGGTTTCTGGGATTATGCTGTTGATGTGAGCCATGACCAGTCTTTCAAAGCACTTCATGGCTACAGACGTCAGTGCCACGGGTCGGTAGTCATTTAGGCAGGTTATCTTAGAGTTCTTGGGCACGGGGACTATGGTGGTCTGCTTGAAACATGTTGGTATTACAGACTCAGTCAGGGACATGTTGAAAATGTCAGTGAAGACACTTGCCAGTTGGTCAGCACATGCTCGGAGTACACGTCCTGGTAATCCGTCTGGCCCTGCGGCCTTGTGAATGTTGACCTGCTTAAAAGTCTTACTCACATCGGCTACGGAGAGCGTGATCACATAGTCGTCCGGAACAGCTGGTGCTCTCATGCATGCTTCAGTGTTGCTTGCCTCGAAGCGAGCATAGAAGTGGTTTAGCTCGTCTGGTAGGCTTGTGTCACTGGGCAGCTCGCGGCTGTGCTTCCCTTTGTAGTCTGTAATAGTTTTCAAGCCCTGCCACATCCGACGAGCGTCAGAGCCAGTGTAGTATGATTCAATCTTAGACCTGTATTGACTCTTTGCCTGTTTGATGGTTCGTCGGAGGTCATAGCGGGATTTCTTATAAGCGTCCGGGTTAGAGTCCCGTTCCTTGAAAGCGGCAGCTCTACCCTTTAGCTCAGTGCGGATGTTTCCTGTAATCCATGGCTTCTGGTTGGGGTATGTACGTACGGTCACTGTGGGGACGACATCATCGATGCACTTATTGATGAAGCCAGTGACTGATGTGGTGTACTCCTCAATGCTGTCTGAAGAATCCCTGAACATGTTCCAGTCTGTGCTAGCAAAACAGTCCTGTAGCTTAGCATCTGCGTCATCTGACCACTTTTTTATTAGCCGAGTCACTGGTGCTTCCTGCTTCAGTTTTTGCTTATAAGCAGGAATCAGGAGGATAGAGTTATGGTCAGATTTGCCAAATGGAGGGCGAGGGAGAGCTTTGTATGCGTCTCTGTGTGTGGAGTAAAGGTGGTCTAGAGTTTTTTCCCCTCTGGTTGCACATTTAACATGCTGGTAGAAATGAGGTAGAACGGATTTAAGTTTCCCTGCATTAAAGTCCCCTGCTACTAGGAGCGCTGCATCTGGATGAGCGTTTTCCTGTTGATTAATGGCCTTGTACAACTCATTCAGTGCAATCTTAATGCCAGCATTGGTTTGTGGTGGTAAATAGACAGCTATGAAAAGTATAGATGAAAACTCTCTTGGTAAATAGTGTGGTCTACAGCTTATCATAAATAGTGTGGTCTACAGCTTATCATCTTGTAGTGGAGGAGCGGGGTGACATGGGAGAACTTGGGAAGGTTGAACACCAGGCAAGACACAGTAGGGTAGCTTAAGGTAGCACGGGCCGGTATTTGGTAAAAACCTTACAAAACTTGCAGGACTCGGTCGAGAGCTGCCTGAGCATGTTTGTTTCCCATGGGGTATGGGGACCCATTATAACTCTGGTAGAAAAGTATGGCTAGCCAGGTTATGTGTATGCTAGTTGACGCTTAGCAATTAAGCTTTTGTGTTAGCCAGCTAGTGTTCACCCAGCGAAAAAGCTAATTCTTATCTGTACCGAAAACGTTCGTTTTGGTAAAGTCACACAACACAAAATACTTATCTCCCGTCTGTACTACTGCAACTCGCTGTTGGCTGGGCTCCCCGCTTGTGCCATCAATCTTATCCAGAATGCTGTGTCTTGCCTGGTGTTCAACCTTCCCAAGTTCTCCCATGTCACCCCGCTCCTCCACTACAAGACCATGATACTTGCCTACGGAGCAGCAAGAGGAACTGCCCCTCCCTACAGGCTATGCTAAAACCCTACACCCCAACCTGAGCACTCTGTTCTGCCACCTCTGGTCTCTTGGCCCTCGCCACCCCTACGGGAGGGCGGCTCCCGCTCAGCCCAGTGCAAGCTCTTCTCTGTGGTGGCACCCTAATGGTGGAACCAGCTTCCCCCTGAAGCTAGGACAGCAGTCCATCTTCCGAAAACATCTGAAACCCTACCTCTTCAAAGAGTATCTTAAATAATCCCACAGCACCCTCCCCCCTTTACTATGACTGTGATATGTGGTTGTCCCACCTAGCTATCTTAAAATGAATACACTAACTGTAAGTCGCTCTGAATAAGAGCGTCTGCTAAATGACTAAAATGTAAATGTAAATGTAGACGACGAGAGCTAAAAAACCTGAGCGACACACCTGTCAACAGTTAAGCAGGAAACAGGGATCAAGTTGTGCTGAGCAGAGCTTAGAGTAGTACTCCTCGCAAGGAAGAGAGGTGAGAATGACCAGAGGGCAGATGAGTGGCTCCTTATCACTTGAAACAAGTAATTGAAAGATACCCACTTTATTTAATATGAGTGTGTTTTTAGGGTGGCTTGTATGGAGTGGTATACGGTCTTATTTGAGAATATCTAGCTCCATCTAATGACCAAGATAGGGCAGCCCTGTCATTTATTGCTCTACTACCATCCATTTCCTCCCTCCCTCAATCCCTCCATCCTCCCATCAATACCTGGAGACAAAAAAAGGCATTGCACCTATTAATCAATGTCACTGCAGACAGGCACTCTGAGAATTGATGCAAGTCTGAGCACGCAGGCCGGCAGGCCAGAGTCAAATTCTCTCTGTGCCATACTGTACCTGCTTCTGAGACTCAAGTTCCCCCTCTCCTGGCCAAATTAGCTAAATGCACTGTCATCGTTTGGGGAACAATGACAATAATACATTTGCCATTTTGGTCATTAAGCAGAAGCTCTTATCCAGAGCGACTTACTTAGATTATGTTAGTTTTGACTTAGGTGCCTCAATACTCCATGCTATGCCCTCCATTTGTGTGTATTCTATGTGCATATGTGTGGCGACAAGTCAAGCAGCTCTGTCCCAAAATATGCCACCACAACTGAAGCACACTCATCGTAACTGCCATTGTTAATGTAGTAGAGGTCAGAAGACCTCAGTCTAGTGTTCATGTGTAGCTTGTGTGTGTGTGGTTACTTTTCCCCAGGCCACTGATGCAGATACAGGGAACTACAGTGCCAATGCGTACCGGCTGATCATCCCGCCCACGACAGATGGTCAGGACAGCTTTGTGATTGAACAGTACACGGGCATCATCAAGACGGCTATCATGTACCGCAACATGCGCAGGTCCTACTTCAAGTTTGAGGTCATCGCCACCGACAACTACGGAGAGGGCATGAGCAGCAACGCTGATGTTGTGGTGAGTGTCTAGTGTCCTCAAACAACACATATCCCTCCATTGTTTGAAACACTCTTTCTTGTTAGGCAAGTGAATATGAGACTTTGAAGCCTGGCAGTTAGAAGTTGTCCTCAGTCAACTGTGATCTTAACAACCGATGCCAATACCCTCACCACCCACAACATCTGATGGGTTTATTAGTGTTGGACTGCAGTTTTCCTCTGAGATTAGTTATTCATTAGGAGGCTACATGATGATGAGGTACATTTTCTCTTCTCTCTAGACTGTGTCTAGCTTCCAATATATTAAATTATTCAGAGCAGTTACAGCACACGAGATGCGTAATGTGTATGCCAGTGAACCCCTCTGCTTCGAGTTGATGATCCAATTAAACAATGCATGGAGTGTGTTTTTCGCTCATTCTAATTGGTGTGTGTGCATGTGTGTGTGTAATTATACTTATACAATACATTTCCATTTGCTTCCAGTTATTGGAGTCAGGGGTTCTCCTAATATGTCAGGCTAACAAGTCTCTAATGAGACTGAAGGAGTGTTGGAACGGCGCCTGAACGGGTGACAGCGGCTAGTGCTTAACCATGTTGCTGGTTCATTTTCAAGAGGAACTGTAATTTCACAGAGACCATGTGGGAGATTTTTCTGCAGAGCCCAGAGCCTTAGAGTCAGTGTACTAACTGTGCCAGCGAATATTAGGCACCATTAGATTGGCCACATGGTACCAATACAAACAGGCAATTTAGATTCTCGTTTTAGCCACCAGGAGCATGTTAAGCATGAATGGACAAAACGTACATATCTACGACTACTCTCTACTCTCTCTCTCTCTCTCTCTCTCTCTCTCTCTCTCTCTCTCTCTCTCTCTCTCTCTCTCTCTCTCGTCCTCCTCTCCTCCTCTCATTCCTCTCTCTCTCCTCTCCCTCTTCTCTCTCTCTCCTCTCTCTCTCTCTCTCCTCCTCTCCTCTCGTCTCTCTCTCTCCTCTCTCTCCTCTCTCTCTCTCTCTCTCTCTCTCTCTCTCTCTCTCTCTCTATCTCTATATCAGGTGTCAGTGGTCAACCAGCTGGATATGCAGGTGGTGGTGTCCAATGTCCCGCCCACTGTCGTGGAGGAGAATAAAGAGCAGCTTATTGCGTAAGGCACCAGTCAATCACTTCCTTTCAGTGTTATTGTCACAGTGAACATGCTTGGTTGAATTGGAAACCTATAAGGGTCCTAAAGGCCCCTGAACACTCAACAGAAACAGGAGAGTGAATTAAAAAGTATTACATTTATTTTCATTAGAAAACATTTCCTCTACAGGGGCAACATACTTTAACCTTTTTTATATTCTGAGAAGCACCTATAGTGGAATAGATTTGTATAGTACAGTAGGGTCTGTCACCACCCTCGTCTTTTACTTTCAGCCCATGCCCAAGTACATTTTAAATGCATTACAACTAAATGTTTGAGTCCATCCCTTTCCTTCTCAGTGATAACTCTATGGTCTAGCGGCAGAAGCCCTGTGGAGAGTCAAGAACAGTCTTTTTTATCATAGACTAGAATGCCACTTACAAAAGTGGATAGCATTTTTCATTTTTTTATTTCTCCTGTTGAATAAGGGGACTTGGTTCAAAGTCGCACGATGCAATTTGCATTTCTGCTAGTGAAATTGTTTGCGTTGAATATTAGTTCCCTTAATGGCAATCTTAGCCAATGTTCTGGCAATGTTCCCGGTTTGCTGGGTAGTCTCCAACTGTGTTTTGAGAAAATGATCCCTGTGTTGCAGAACTTAGGTCCTCAATGGCTTCACTGTCTGTTTACGTTCTGTCTCCCTTAACCAATGATTGGGCAAGTAAAACCACTGATTGTCCAGTTGATGAATGAATGGCAAGAACAGAAAACAGTACAGTGTTTTTAGACAGATAGGATAATAAAATAAGAAGGTAATATATTTTTACATTTACATTTTAGTCATTTAGCAGACGCTCTTATCCAGAGCGACTTACAGTTAGTGAATACATCTTTTTTTTATACTGGCCCCCCGTGGGAATCAAACCCACAACCCTGGCGTTGCAAGCGCCATGCTCTATCAACTGAGCTACATCCCTGCCGGCCATTCCCTCCCCTACCCTGGACGACGCTGGGCCAATTGTGCGCCGCCCATGAGTCTCCCGGTCGCGGCCGGCTGCGACAGAGCCTGGATTCGAACCAGGATCTCTAGTGGCACAGTTAACACTGCGATGCAGTGCCTTAGACCACTGCGCCACTCAGGAGACAGAGTAATATACATTCATTGTTTTAAAGCCTCACTTTAAATGACACTACCCCTATAAGATTGCTCTATGCTTTGACAACTAAATCATGTGTTTAGTTAGTCATTCTGATTACATCTGAGAGGCCTCCCATGTTCCTTGGTCCTAGTGGGGTCCAGAACTGGGTACTCTGTTCATCAGGCTTGGCATTCGGGTTGGAGAAAGTACCCATTTAGTGGTTGTCATTTAAAGTGCAGAGTTCACTCAGCCTGAAAAGACATACTGGTGTCCATTTTGGCAACTATGGCTGGGAGTGAAATACTTAAAAGTATGGCCTCAAACTGATATGGTCACACACAAGTAAAAGTTGTAAAAAGATTACATTTCAGCATTATAAAGTCAATGACATCATTTGTAAATGGTGACACAAGACATGCAGGTGAAGTGAATCAGGGCAACCACTGCTAACGCATGATCAGCACATTCGCTAGGCTACTGTACATCACCTGTTAATAACAGTATGACAGTAGTTACTGAATGATTCATAGAGCCTTCACGTCATGGTATAGATGGCTGTAGAAATATGAAGGTAGAAATATCTAATGCTTCAGCTATACCTGGTACCATACTTTATTTTAAATGTGAACAGACCACAATGGTTTTGTCTCCCAAATGTCAGTATTCTGGAGCGATACATCCAGGACCAGATCCCAGGGGCCAAGGTGGTGGTGGAGTCCATCGGGCCGCGGCGGTTCGGAGACGGCTTTGACCAGGAGGACTACACAAAGTCAGACCTGATGGTGTACGCCATCGACCCACTGACCAACAGGGCCATCTCACGTCAGGAGCTCTTTAAGTGAGTGAACCAACACAATGAAATGAAAAGCTATCTCTTTGTCTCTCTCTCTCTCTCTCGCTCTCTCTCTCGCTCCTCTATCTTTCTCTCCCTTTTTCTAATGAGAGAGAGAGAGAAAGAGAGACAGAAAGAGAGAGAGAGAGAGAGAGAGAGAGAGAGAGAGAGAGAGAGAGAGAGAGAGAGAGGAGAGAGAGAGAGAGAGAGAGAGAGAGAGAGAGAGAGAGAGAGAGGAAAAAGAAGGTGCTATTCCATCAGTAGCTGCCACTAAGCCACCCAGAGGTTGTTCCAACATTCTGGAGAAATGCCAGCTTAGCATTTTAGTTCCCCTGTATTTTAGTTCCCCTGTATTCGGCGAGAGAGAGAGACACTCCTCAGAGCCCAGGGTTCCCCTCTTACATAGCAGGAGAAACACTGTTTTACACTTTTACCACAAATGCTCTAAAGGTGCAGTTGAAAAGTGCTTTTGCAACACTTTTTCACCCTGTCAGGGGAAAGAGCAGTCCCCTTCCACTCAGCAGGCGGGGTGTGTTAAAACACCTAGGACCATGTTGCTGCCATTAGTCTTTTGTTCCCCAGCCCTCAGACAGGGTTAGAGTCAACACTGTGGGAGCCAAGGCCCCCCCTCAGAGCATAACAGGCACCATGCTAGAGGAACCCTTCCCCCCTACTGAGCACCCTTCCACTGTCCACAGAAGGAAGGCATGATCTCTCTATTTCCCTCCTTATGTCTGTCTCCTTCCCTCTCTTTTGCCCCATACTCCTTTTCACTCTGGCTTTAACAGCTCGAATTAGGCTACGTTCCCCTCCCCTTTAAACCAGATACCAATCTATTGTTTAATCCTGCTCTTTAAAAAGTGACTTTGAGTAAAGTGGCTTTGTGTTGAGTTAATCTGAGCACATTACCTCTCTGTCTGTCCTTGGCTGCTAGCGGTGGCCCTGTTTTAATGTAATGATACACGTGTCTCATAAAGAAAGGGGGTTTCTTAGCCTGAGATAGTGAGCGTCACTCTTATCACAAGCACCAGCTTTGGAGAGAGCCGTTGTTCATTTTAAAAAGAGGTGCTGATATATCTAGCGTTGCTTCAATAAGAATCCCCCTCTTAGGTACAATGGGAGGCTGTTAAAGAAGAGGCTAGCCGAGGTTCAAGGAGCAGGAAGGGAAAAAATAAGCTCTATGTTCATGCAGCTCACGCCTGACAGCGTAGAGCGTTAAATGAGGGAAATAAGGACTCTTGAGGGTTGAAAAAAAGAAGCCTATAGATAACTCACATGAAAGGACAATCACTTGAGTACTATTCATTTTTATAACGAGGCCATATAGTGGATGATAATGCAACTTGTGGCAGAGAGGGATTGCGTTGGGAACTTGAATGACTGCACAAATCTCCTATTGACATCAATGTACAGTGAGGGAAAAAAGTATTTGATCCCCTGCTGATTTTGTACGTTTGCCCACTGACAAAGAAATGATCAGTCTATAATTTTAATGGTAGGTTTATTTGAACAGTGAGAGACAGAATAACAACAACAAAATCCAGAAAAAACGAATGTAAAAAATGTTATAAATTGATTAGCATTTTAATGAGGGAAATAAGTATTTGACCCCCTCTCAATCAGAAAAGTTTCTGGCTCTCAGGTGTCTTTTATACAAGTAACGAGCTGGGATTAGGAGCACACTCTTAAAGGGAGTGCTCCTAATCTCAGCTTGTTACCTGTATAAATGACACCTGTCCACAGAAGCAATCAATCAATCAGATTCCAAACTCTCCACCATGGCCAAGATCAAAGAGCTCTCCAAGGATGTCAGGGACAAGATTGTAGACCTACACAAGGCTGGAATGGGCTACAAGACCAGCGCCAAGCAGCTTGTTGAGAAGGTGACAACAGTTGGTGCGATTATTCGCAAATGGAAGAAACACAAAATAACTGTCAATCTCCCTCGGCCTGGGGCTCCATGCAAGATCTCACCTCGTGGAGTTGCAATGATCATGAGAACGTTGAGGACATGGAGGTGGAAACATTATGCTTTGGGGGTGTTTTTCTGCTAAGGGGACAGGACAACTTCACTGCATCAAAGGGACGATGGACAGGGCCATGTACCGTCAAATGTTGGGTGAGAACCTCCTTCCCTCAGCCAGGGCATTGAAAATGGGTCGTGGATGGGTATTCCAGCATGACAATGACCCAAAACACATGGCCAAGGCAACAAAGGAGTGGCTCAAGAAGAAGCACATTAAGGTCCTGGAGTGGCCTAGCCAGTCTCCAGACCTTAATCCCAAGATTAATCCCATAGAAAATCTGTGGAGGGAGCTGATGGTTCGAGTTGCCAAACGTCAGGCTCGAAACCTTAATGACTTGGAGAAGATCTGCAAAGAGGAGTGGGACAAAATCCCTCCTGAGATGTGTGCAAACCTGGTGGCCAACTACAAGAAACGTCTGGCCTCTGTGATTGCCAAAAAGGGTTTTGCCACCAAGTACTAAATCATGTTTTGCAGAGGGGTCAAATACTTATTTCCCTTATTAAAATGCAAATCAATTTATAAAATTCTTGACGTGTTTTTCAGGATTTTTTTTGTCATTATTCTGTCTCTCACTGTTCAAATAAACCTACCATTAAAATTATAGACTGATCATGTCTTTGTCAGTGGGCAAACGTACAAAATCAGCAGGGGATCAAATACTTTTTCCCTCACTGTACATGTACGCATAAGGCCTAGTAACAGGCGCATATATTATGTTAGGATTCAACACCAATTCAAATCATTTGAATTCCCAGAACTGTCGCAGTTGAAATGGTGTTACACCCAAACTTAAAGTACACTACATGAACAAAAGTATGTGGACACCTGCTCGTCAAACATCTCATTCCAAAATCATGGGTGTTAATATGGAGTTGGCGACGAACAGTTTGTGCTGACCTTGCTTCCAGAGGCAGTTTGGAACTCTGTAGTGAGTGTTGCAACTGAGAACAGACACATTTTACGCGCTTCAACGCTCTGTGGTCCTGTTCTGTGAGCTTGTGTGGCCTACCACTTCGCGGCTGAGCTGTTGTTTCTCCTAGACGTTTCCACTTCACAATAACAGCACTTACAGTTGACTGGGGCAGCTCTAGCAGGGCAGAAATTTCACGAACTGACTTGTTGGAAAGGTGGCATCCTATGACGGTGCCAAGTTGAAAGTTACTGAGCTCTTCAGTATGGGCCATTCTACTGCCAATGTTTGTCTATGGAGATTGCATGGCTGTGTGCTCGATTTTATACACATGTTAGCAACGGGTGTGGCTGAAATAGCCAAATCCACTAATTTGAAGAGGTGTCCACATACTTTTGGTAGTGTACTTGTGTGACTGACTGTGGTCTGTCTGGCAGGTTTCTAGATGGGAAGCTGCTGGACATCAACAAGGAGTTCCAGCCCTACCTGGGTCAAGGAGGACGTATCCTGGAGATCCGTACGCCCGACATCGTGGCCAGCGTGAAGAAGGCTGCCCAGGCTGTGGGCTACACAGAGGGGGCACTGCTCGCCCTAGCCATCATCATCATCCTCTGCTGCATCCCCGCCATCCTCATCATCATGGTCACCTACAAACAGTGAGTGCACAATCGCTGTTGTCGTAGCTATACGCAACGTGTGTGTATGGCCATGGTGACCTTTCAAAGCTAGCACTGTAGTTCTGTAGAGGCTGAGGAAATATGCATGGTGCTAGGTATTCAGTCAAACACTGCTCTCCCAGTCTCTCTCTCCCGAACTAATTAGTGATGCTGACAGTGTACACCGCTGGTCTAATGTCCCTATTCACACACTGTGAAAGCAGATTAATTTACACTCATTTGCAACAAATATCCAAAGCCAATTGTGACCGTCACAGTGCATCTTCACGGCTCCACTACCCCATCACTCACACTCACACTCACACACACACACACACACAGAAAAATCTCTTCCACACACACCCACAACAAATTGCATAATGATAAAGCATATGGCACAGATTTAGTATACCATTTGTTCCTGATTGCTGAAGTTGTTTTATTTGATGTTGATTGGGCAAGGTTCGTAAAGCGATGACAACTGTGAATGCGTCAGGCAGGTGCTGCTCAATGTTGCTCTATGTGCCGTGTGAATCCACTACATCAACACTATATAAACACTGATGTCTGGGGAATGTTTACACCCAGCAGACGGGTCAGAGTGGTTACCCTGAGCTGAAGAAACACACACACAGAAACATTGCAGAGTTTGTAGTGTTACGATGCGCTAGTTTAGAAAAGTTAATTCATTCATTCAACTTTATGACTTATTGATCTCTGGGAGAATATTCTGATGCAACGCATTCTCTCGTTTCTCTCTTCTGGGGTAATTGTATATTGCTGTGAATAAGTAATGCTGAGAACAAAAGAAACGGAATAAAAATAAGTTTGATGTACTTGTATGAACTGTAAGCTGCAAACATAGCTGGAGAGCCTGATGCGTTCCATAACACTGTGTGATAAGAAATTAAGAAGTAAATTAAGTCCTCTTATTATATTCAGTGGTGAAATAGGCTGAGATCTTTGATAGGGCGTGTTATCCAAAGCCTGGCTGTTATCTGAATAGGTCAAAAGGAATTCATGAATAATGCACATTGTTTCACCTAGAGTGGTGTGTTTTTCAAAAGAAACCTTAACATCCGCCAAACATTAAAATTGAATGGCGTTGGAGGAACGCCGAGGCGTCTCACTATTCCCAATTTAATTAATGTTTCTCATTGTATAGTATTAACAAAATAGGAATGAGCTAATTGTATAACTGAGATTCTCTTGTGTTTTCTTTTTTCCTCTGCTCCCCTGTCTCCAACACTGCCTGGAAAACTATCCACCAGATTCAAAGAGTAAGTCATTGTCCATGTGATATGAGTGATCTCTCTTGTATGCACTTGAGCATGAATACAACATGGTTCTATTCACATGTCCACATTACTGAATAGTCCTTTAAAGATGAACCAGGGAGTCAGAACGACTATTAAAATGAGGATTAAAGTACAAACATTGTAGTTCAAGTCATCTCCTTAATACAGACTTAAATCCCCAGTAATTGGGAAAGACAATGACTTGCCTATTTTAAAATCTAGTTTTATATAAGAGATTGGCTCTGTTATTTTTATCTCAGTCAGTTGGGATGAGACACATACTGTACTGATGTTCAATCACTTCAATCACCAAAGACATGTAGCCTTCATGGGGAACAAGTGATGAAATGTTATGGAAAGAAAGTGCAATGGATGGACTCAAACTTTATTTGAACTTCAGGAGACAGGCGGAATGTGCCAAGACTGCGAGGATTCAGCAAGCTCTGCCAGCGGGCAAGGCTGCTGCTCCACGCGCCCCAACAACCAATCTCTACGGGGAACTAGGGGACAGCAGCATGTAAGTCCAATCAAATCAAATCAAATGTATTTATAAAGCCCTTTTTACATCAGCAGATGTCACAAAGTGCTTATACAGAAACTCAGCCCACCTTTGACCTCTTCCTCCTAACCCCCTTACTTCCTGTTTCAGGTACCATATACAATGAGTAATGCCTATTTGTGCAGATGATAACGTTTGTGGGTGTTAGGACATTGCCTATTTTTCAAACAGCAAACACATTTCTTGACTAAAAAAGGCCTTAGTCCACCAACGATGGACATTGGTCTTTAGAGTCTGTCATGTTGAGCTTTAGCTGCATCATTGTTCCCATTCAGTCGTCATTCATTGTGCTTTGTCCTACAAACACCTACACAGACCTAAGTTTGTTCAGTATCCCATCTCAGATTGTCAATGTGTGACTTTGCAATTAGATGCCAGATCCATTTCAACATGGCCTTCTGTTCTCTCAAGGTGAATCTCTTTGTTTTGACTCATAAAAGAGAGACCAATGTTTGCTAGAAATAGAATAATGCTGTGTCTCTGTTTGGCCCATCCTTTTGTTGGCCATTGATTTTGTGGTAAATTACTTTTTGATTTCCCCTTCTTATTGTCGCTGTTGAATAACTCAGCAGTTTTTCGAGTCAGTTTTGCCATTAACACAATCGGATTCCACCTTTCACATTAAATACAATCCTTAAATGCGCAATGAAATGTTAATAGTTTTAGAATAATCCAGATTTAATCTAAACGACATAATCAGTCCCCGTGGTAAATAGGGGCTGAGGTGATCTTCATTTTTATGCATTTTAAACCATTGCTGCTACCTACATCACGGACGGTGTGTAATGGACATTTTACGGTGAGCTGCAAAAAGGCTCTGCTATGTTTACAGCAGCTGTTGACAAATACTCAACACGGAGCAGATGCTTTTAATTTCACTCTGTTCAGAAGAGCTCTCTCAGGGGTAACAGAGCAGCCCACTATCGTATATTTTGGGTTGATTTCCATAGAAACGAGGAGGAATGATCACAGAAACGACACTATTGTTTTTAAAATATATTTTGCCCATGCGTGTGTATGCATTTGTACATGTGTGTGTGAGTTATAGAAACCAGCAATTACTGGTAATACTAATAAGCAATTACTGGTAAGGCACACAGTACAGTTTATGCATACCAACTTGAAGACAGTATTACCTCGAATGTATGCAGAACTTGTTCTATGCCTATTAATTTACTATCTTCATCAACCAACTAGTTTGACCATGGATACCTCAGCTTCTTGACCATTTCCCATAAGGTTACACTTTGTTAAACAACTGTCTCTCTCTGTCTGTCTTTCATTTCATTTCATCTCCACTCTATTTGTTCTTCGATGGATTCAGACTGCAGTAAGTAACCCCAATGCTTATGCCTAGGCTCAAATAGAAAAACTGGAGTGATATAGATGGCATCTAGTCCCCTACACCTGTTCTTGAATATTTTTCATTGACATGTACTTAATATTTTATTACAGAAGTAACTTAGATGTTACAGTACTATACATGGTTAGTGCATTTGCATCTGAATATAATGGTATAATGTCAGGGATGCAAGGTAATACTCTTTATAAAGGTAAGGCTTAACTACAGCGTAACACCATTTTTGCTTCCGCCTGTTTAGGAAAAGTGAACCTCCCTTTATAAACTTTAGAGGTATGGTGCATCTGTAGATGCTTATAGCTTACACCCTACCCATCCCAATCCTGATCCCATTAGAAAAAAAGTAATTGTTTATGTTTCATGTCCATTAACTTAAGATCATAACCTCTTAGTATTATTGATATGATTGAACTAATGCACAAGGGTAGGTGTTGGGTACTTCAGATATCACATGTTCCATATATTTGTGGACTGTGATACTAAAATGGAGGTACCTCTGTGACTGTGCTTTGATTTCTTCAAATCAAATATGATTATATATTTGATCTTGTATTAAATGTACTTGGGATGTTTTTAAGTGGATACTTTATCGCCTGTCCAAATACTGTCAGCAGTTGAACTGCGATTCTAAAACTTTATTAAATATTTTGTATTTAAATAAATTTTTCTAATGACTCCGATACTGTAAAGCATGGTCTACCCTGCTGCATTACCTTTGAGTTCGAATCACATATTTTATATTGTTTCTAACTTTAATCATAATACTAAGAGTCAAAATGACTGAAGGATTTTGGAATAACAGTCTATAGCATCTCCCTCATCCCTTCTCCTCTGCTTCCTCATCCTTCATCCTTCCTTCACCTGTGTTTCAAATCTTTATTTTGTCCACCCTCCATCTACATTCCTAATCGGACAGGGCTAAAAGGTCTGAGATCGAGGAAGCCGACCGCCAGAGATGCCTTAGCAGCTTCGCCTGTCGCGCCATCTCCTCCCGTGGCAATGGGTCGCTGCACAGCATTCTGCCCAAGTCAGAGAGCAACGTCACCTTTCTGTCAGACCACCACCCCCTGACCACCACCAACCCCCTCTATGACGAAGAAGAAGACGGGAACCTCAGCAGCCCCTACGGGACGGCGAAAGGTGGCTCTTTCTCCCCCTCCCTCTCTGGAGGGTCCGGGAACGCCTGGACCATACCGACTCGTCTCCGTGGAGGGTCAGAGGGGTACGAGTCGCTGAAGAGACAGGCTCTGATGGACCCGGCCCAGTGGGAGCTGCAGCTGCTCCAAGCTGGGATGAAGGGTCAAGACAGCCTGGAGGGTTATGACGTCCAGAGCAGCCGCAGCACAGAGGAGAGCAAGCTGTCTGTCAGGGAGCAGGCCAGGCAGTATGAACAGCAGGCCATGCAGGAGAGGACCCCCAGGGGAGGGTGTGACTCCAGGGGCTCCCTGACCTCCCCTCCACTACTGCGTAACCGAGACAGCATTGACATGCTGGAGCTGAGCGCGGAGACCCTGTTCTCCATCATGGACCGCCCCTACAGCCCCATGTCCATAGGGAAGGATGTGCCCCCCCGCATCATCATCACCCAGGGGGAAGGCTCTCCACCCCAGGCCCAGAGGCCCACCCCGCCTGTCCTCAGGAAATTCAGCTCCAGCAACTCCAGCTACATCACTGCAGAGCCCTGTGAGATCACTGTGGAGATCATCCCTGACCCGCCTGAGAATCCACCACCTCCTCCTCCTTCTCCTCATTCTCCTCCTCCTCCACCTCCTCCTCCTTCTCCTCATTCTCCTGCCTCATCTCCTCCTCCTCATCCTTCCTCATCTCCTCCTCCTCCTCCCTCCTCACCTCCTCCCCCTGGGCCCTTCAATCTTCACTCCAGTGAGCCTGATCATTCTCCCCCACCCTCTTTCCCTCCCTCTCCCCCTCCTGTTCGTAATCGTGCTCCTCCGCCACTGCCCCCACCCCTCCCGCCCTCTTTCTCCCCCACTTTCGAACGACCCCGCCACACTGTTCAGTTTGTCCCAACCTCCCTGCCGCCGTTGTCCTCGCTCCGCCCTATCTCCTCCCGGGCTCCTCCCCCCCCACCTCCCCCCCAACCCGAAGACGGTGTGAAGAGGAAGGAGCTAAAGGGGATTCTGAAAAACCTACAGAACCTTGCCGACATCGAGAAGTCTGTTGCCAACCTCTACAGTCAAGTAGACAAGAATCGCAAGGTGGCGCGATTCGGCAAGAAACCCCAAGCAACCGAGGAACAAGAAGGAACTCGGAAACAAAGCAGATCTGTGTCCCTTGAGGAACCAAACCAGCCAAACCTGACCAGCACGGAACCTGTGATCCAACCAAACTCAACCACAAACACTAACTCCTCTGAGCTGGAAACAAGCCAACCAAGCACTAACAATGTGACCTCAGAGGTCCAGGAGCCGAGCCAATCAAACCAGTCAAATGCAGACTCTGTGACTGAGGAACTAAGCAATCGCTTTCCATCCCAATCCACCACTTTCTGACTCGCTGACTTTTCTCCTCAGCTCTATTTCCTAATTCATTTTCTTTCTTTCTACATCTTTATGTCTCATATCATGATCATGCTGTGTTGTATTGGATATTCTCTGTCTGATGTTTTTGTAAGTGTTGTCATCAACAATATAGTTTCTTCCCCTAACAAACTTGTATAATGTTCATGTCATCACAACTAACAGCAAGTGGGCGATAAGTAAACTGAAAGATCCCGTAGCTTTTCAGAACCTCTTAAACTTAGGATTTAAAATAAATATCATACCTTGTCATGTTCCTAAGTTCATAACCCCTTGGCCTTTTCTATGTCACCAACCATCCTCCATCTTCACACCCTGATCTACCACAAAATATTCCATTAAAGTTTTCAAGGCTTGAGAAATATGTTGAACTGAACCTGCATAAAACGTACTCCTTGTACGTTGTATTCCCATCCAATTCCATTTTATACGGAGAGTGGAGAGTATTATTTCCAATGCTTTTATTGACAGACTAGATTAGAAATTGAAATTGAGATGGGTGAAGAGGCTAATTAGGTGAAGAGATGGGATATGGATGTGAGCACACAGGGATTGAATCCAGATCTATCCCACTAGGCACAGACATCAATTCAACGTCTATTCTATTTCATTGAAATGACGTGGAAACAACGTTGATTCAACCAGTGTGTGCCCAGTGGGATGTGAGTATGTGCATAGAGCCTGGATGACTCATCCATACAAACAAACTTATTCTAACCCCACTCTCACATTGTGAGCCTTATGGACTTTAATTCCCCATGAGTACCCTGGTGAATGGAGAGCTGTTATTCTTCACAGAGGACAGTGCACGTATCAGAATATCCATACAATCTATACAAGACAACATCCTGGGGGAATGGTTTCATGAGAAAGATGCGGTCTAATTTACTTCTTTCAAAACAATGCAAGGGCATTCTATTTGTTTATGATTTGTAGAAGGATTTTACATTTCCGGAACAACAGTGAATTTGAATTTCCAAAGTGCTCTGAAGAGGGGAAGGAATGGAGTGTAACACAGAGTTCAGATGTTTCTCTAGATGTTTGACATTGGGAAGTGGTAGTTGAAGCTGTGGGTTCATCAGTAGGCTGATGATGATGTTGTGGATGGTCTATACAGATCCTAATAGCATGATAAACTAGTAGATGTTGCTGTCTGATGGCTCTCTGAAAGCGGCTAATTAGTAAATCAATCAATCCCTCAACCACTGGCGCTGCTGTCCTGACCTGACACCCTCTCCTCTTAACTCCATCATACACACTATCTCTTCTTTCTTCTGTCTAACACACTTTCTTGTGCTCTATCTCCATCTTTTTATTCTCTCTCTCTCTTGTTCTTTCTCGCTTTATTTCTCTACCTGACCCCTTCTTGTTCTTCCTTTTATTCATCCCTTATCATTTGCATGTGACTCTGACACACTACCATCAGTATCACTTTTCTCAAGGCTCCTGTAGCTCTTTTTTTCTCAGTCTTTTTCTCCCTCTCTGTTTGTCTCTCGTCCCTTCTCTCTAGTGCTCCTTTCAAGAGCAGTTATATTTGTTTAATCAGCCATTCCCCTGGTGTTCCAGAACAGATAGAATTTTGACTAATTGTGTATTCTGTGTTCACCACATGGGGTAATCTCCTCTATCAAAAAGGCCCACAATTCACATACTATACTGAACAAAAATATAAATGCAACATGCAACAATTTCAATGATTTTACTGAGTTACAGTTCATATGAGGAAATAAATAAATGAGGCCCTGATCTATGGATTTCACATGACTGGGAATACAGATATGCATCTGTTGGTCACAGATACCTTAAAAGAAATGGGCCTCACAATGGGCCTCAGGATCTCGTCACGGTATTTCTGTGCATTCAAATTGCCATCGATAAAATGCAATTGTGTTCGTTGTCCATAGCTTATGCCTGTCCATACCATAACCCCACCAGTATGTAACATTTCTGGGATCTTTTATTTCAGCTCATGAAACACTTTACATATTGCGTTTATATTTTTGTTCAGTATATTTTCCGGTTCAGGTGCTCTTTTTCTTTGGCCCAAACAGCTGTCATTTCTAACAGATCTGATTATTTTTCTTTTTTTGTTCCTTTGATGGCAATTATTGTGTCACTTCCTCTTCGGTTTTACCATTTATTTTCTTCATTTTTCATCCAGTGCCGTGATAAACGTAATGAGGAGAGTCTGTTCACTCCCGCTACCTACTTAGAAAACTCTAACTCATTATTATGTCTGGGTATGGTCAAATATTATATCATAGCGGAAATGTTTGCATCCTAAAACGAACCTTTACCTCTCTGCATCATAAACCATTACCTCCCAGTGAATTGCATCTAAGATAGGAAGAAACTCCCTCCACTTGGTTACGCCCAGATACATTAGTATTTAAGTGTCCATTAGTTATATGAAGTGGACATCTCTGGATGTGCATCCCCCCCTACTCCTCCCTGCCTACAGTATCTGTCTAATGGGCCATTTGTTTTGGTGTTTTCTAAAGACTTTACCAGCCCAGCAGGCCTTTCATCAGCCCTACTCCCACCTAGCCAGTCCCATACGGGGAGGTGTGGTCGTACGGCAGGGATCATCAACTAGACTGGGGCCGATTTTTTTTATGCACACCTCCCTGTATGCATATGTTTTATATGCACTATGTCTGGGACAGTTACGTTTTTTCTGGGGGAAATCTCTGTGATGCTTTGTTATCTGATGGCTAGTGTAAGGTGCATTTGAGTAAATCATCAATACTGCTTTCCAATCCAGCCACTCAAATTCTTGAAAATTAGGCCAGGATTCGATCAGATCAGCGTAACCCGCATTAGCCGACAAACATAGATTTGTATTGCTTTTGTTTAGGCGGTGTCGGAGGTGTAACTGCATTTGAGCTGTCAAATTGGTGACTGGCTGCTCTTGTAGTCATTACCACGAAACCACTTACCTGTCCTTATATCGCACCCACGTTAGAAGTTCAGAACAAGAAAGTGTAAGCTATATAGAAATATGATGGCTCTCAAATGTATAGTCATTCAACAAAATAATATGCATTTATATCAGCCTAATCGAGGTGTAGAGAACATCACACATTCCAGTCTTCAAATTTGTAACGCGGCTGCATGGAATTTCTACTAATGTGACTCTGTGCATCCAATGGCAATGTCCGCGATAGGTAACACCAGGAGCCGCTTGTGCATTTGACAGCTCTAACACAGTTAGCCTACACCTCCGACACCGCCTAAACAAGAGAAATAAAAACCTATGGTAAACCTTTGTCGGCTAATGTGGGTTACCGCGCTAATGATTGAATCCTGGCCTAAATAAATCTGATATTTTATGAGTTATATGGTGTGACACCCACAAAGCTAACCACACTCAAAGGATGTTTGAACTTTATACAATAACAAATTAATTATATATTTGTATTGTACTAACAAATGCATTCTAGTGACAATAGTGTGCCATTAAATGATTTTCCCACTTGCTATTGGGAAGGCAATTGCTTAGATATGTCAACTTAAGTGTAGGGTTTGTTGTTATTTCCTATTTCTGTCTCCCCCACCTCTTTATGTATCCAACTTTTCATTTTATCTGCCAATCATTGTTATAATGGAAGAAAGAACATAACAAATAGATAACAAAAATGTTTCTGTATTATTTTTAAATGAAAAATGTAACCAATGGCTTGACACAGAAAATTGCACAGTAAGTAACATTGAAATCACTTAACTGGTCAGCAGAATATACACTTTTATATCAATGCACTTAGAATTTGGATGTCACATTCTACTCATTATTTGCACTATTTCTTTCCTCCTTTTTTCCATGACCTACAGACGAGGATATGGCAGAAAGGTAGGCATTTTTATTGTGATGTATTTTTATGTTATGCATTGTGTGCGAAGTCAATTTCTTCATGCTCAAGGGAGCTTTATTCACCATCATTCTTATCTACCGCTCGCCTGATGGAAAACACTGAATGAGATTTAGACGGGATCATAGAGATAGTTGGCTGATTATTTTAACATTAGCATCACAGTTTACATTTGATTTGAAAACCGTTGGTGCTGTAATCTCAAATCTCTCTACTGACAAGTGACAGATGAGCATTAGGGCCACTTTCTCTCCCTACTGGTGCGTGGAAGTACTACTAGGAGCTTAGCCAAAGATTAACTGACTCAATGTTTTACAACTTTTGACGCACCCTGAGTACTACAAATCCTGCCCTGTAAATAACCCATGAACTTCAGCATCAGAAGTGTCATGTATGCTCCTTTCATTTTCAATATTATTTGATAGCAGCTCTAAGGTTGTGAGTGAGCTTTATCTGTCATATATCTCTCTTCTGGCTTCTATCTGTATTCACTCAACATTTCTATCTATACCCTTTGTCTATTTTCTTGTGACTGTCTACTCTGTTCATCCTGTCAGTCTTTCATTTTCTCTGTATTCACCTTAACCTCATCATCTCCTCCTTATACTGTGTTAAACCTTTGTTCGCTACCCTCTTCCAAATCCACTCTCCTTTCTCTATGGCCTTAAAAAGCTTTCATTCTTTATCCTGCTGTATCTGTAGTTAAATATGAACTGTGAACTGGACACTCTGTCTCTGTTTCTCCTTATCCCTCCCTCTCCAACTAATCTATGGCAGCAACAGCAACTGCTGAGGCCATCTCTGCTGAGACCTGAGGTAGAAACCTTACTGCTTCTGTCAAAGCTCCAGGCTAATTCTGCTATGCTCACACTGTGCTGTTCTGTACTGTGCTGTGCTGTGTTTCTAGCTCAGGTTTCTAATTTTTTCTCTGTATTGATGTATCTCTATGTGCTTCTCCTGAAATTCAGGAGCTCTCCATGGAGTCAGGCATCGACCCAGGCCAAGACTATTACAGGGACGAATACTATAATTACGACCAGGGGTGAGTCCAATCCCCGCTGACCCTCCCATCTCTCATCAGTTTCGCTCTGATCCAGTTAATTTAATTGATCTCCACTGGTTAATTGCTGAAAGTTATGCCATTAAGACTAATTTACAAATGTATCATGAACTTACATTTCACAAGGCCCCGACACACACACACACACACACTGAGAGATCCTACCTCTAACTTCCTTCATACTGGACGCAAAGACATACAAATGATATCCACGAGTTCATCTGACTCTGGGGAAGTAGATTAAGGGCTTCATTGGCAAAATCCCAAACTATCCCTTTAAGTGTAACATAGTGCAGCTGGCTGGCAGGGTTGGCTAACACTCCAGTTATTCAGATCATTCCTAAGTGTTTACCCTTTCCACTCCCACCAAATATGATCAATTACCCAGCCTTGAGCGGAGCATGGCACCTGAGAGCTTGGTAATGGTCCAGAGGAAAACGCTGGAATTTACAGCGTTACGAACAGATGCTGGCCAAATGTTGTGCATTGGACTCTCGTGTTCAGTGAGGGGTTCTTTAAAACACTCAGGCGAGTTAAGCTACAGTGAGGGAAAAAAGTATTTGATCCCCTGCTGATTTTGTACATTTGCCCACTGACAAAGACATGATCAGTCTATAATTTTAATGGTAGGTTTATTTGAACAGTGAGAGACAGAATAACAACAAAAAAATCCAGAAAAACGCATGTCAAAAATAAATTGATTTGCATTTTAATGAGGGAAATAAGTATTTGACCCCTCTGCAAAACATTATTTAGTACTTGGTGGCAAAACCCTTGTTGGCAATCACAGAGGTCAGATGTTTCTTGTAGTTGGCCACCAGGTTTGCACACATCTCAGGAGGGATTTTGTTCCACTCCTCTTTGCAGATCTTCTCCAAGTCATTAAGGTTTCGAGCCTGACGTTTGGCAACTCGAGCTTTCAGCTCCCTCCACAGATTTTCTATGGGATTAAGGTCTGGAGACTGGCTAGGCCACTCCAGGACCTTAATGTGCTTCTTCTTGAGCCACTCCTTTGTTGCCTTGGCCGTGTGTTTTGGGTCATAGTCATGCTGGAATACCCATCCACAACCCATTTTCAATGCCCTGGCTGAGGGAAGGAGGTTCTCACCAAAGATTTGACGGTACATGGCCCCGTCCATCGTCCCTTTGATGCGGTGAAGTTGTCCTGTCCCCTTAGCAGAAAAACACCCCCAAAGCATAATGTTTCCACCTCCATGTTTGACGGTGGGGATGGTGTTCTTGGGGTCATAGGCAGCATTCCTCCTCCTCCAAACACGGCGAGTTGAGTTGATGCCAAAGAGCTCGATTTTGGTCTCATCTGACCACAACACTTTCACCCAGTTCTCCTCTGAATCATTCAGATGTTCATTGGCAAACTTCAGACGGCCCTGTATATGTGCTTTCTTGAGCAGGGGGACCTTGCGGGCGCTGCAGGATTTCAGTCCTTCATGGCGTAGTGTGTTACCAATTGTTTTCTTGGTGACTATGGTCCCAGCTGCCTTGAGATCATTGACAAGATCCTCCCGTGTAGTTCTGGGCTGATTCCTCACCGTTGTCATGATCATTGCAACTCCACGAGGTGAGATCTTGCATGGAGCCCCAGGCCGAGGGAGATTGACAGGTCTTTTGTGTTTCTTCCATTTGCGAATAATCGCACCAACTGTTGTCACCTTCTCACGAAGCTGCTTGGCGATGGTCTTGTAGCCCATTCCAGCCTTGTGTAGGTCTACAATCTTGTCCCTGATATCCTTGGAGAGCTCTTTGGTCTTGGCCATGGTGGAGAGTTTGGAATCTGATTGATTAATTGCTTCTGTGGACAGGTGTCTTTTATACAGGTAACAAGCTGAGATTAGGAGCACTCCCTTTAAGAGTGTGATCCTAATCTCAGCTCGTTACCTGTATAAAAGACACCTGGGAGCCAGAAATCTTTCTGATTGAGAGGGGGTCAAATATTTATTTCCCTCATTAAAATGCAAATCAATTTATAACATTTCTGACATGCGTTTTTCTGGATTCTCTCACTGTTCAAATAAACCTACCATTAAAATTATAGACTAATCATTTATTTGTCAGTGGGCAAACGTACAAAATCAGCAGGGGATCAAATACTTTTTTCCCTCACTGTAGATGGAGGACAAGCTAAACCCCTAATTGAATCAAACCTTAGTTAACCGTGTGAAATGGATCATCGACCACGTAACATATTTTAATTGCATGATCACGTAGGCCTCATCAACTCTGTGATTTACCCTCTCATCATCCATTAAAATTCTAATTGATGCTTAGTGTGTTTGTATGATGAAGCCCTTCCGTTGAGTCTTAAGGTAATTGTGTTGTGATTCCACTGTGGGACAGCAGGTCCCTAAAGCTGCTGCTGCTGAGGTTGCTATCACGATAACCCAGACTGCCTTTGATCCATTTCTATTTAAAGAGCAACTTAATAGCTGGGTTAAGCTCTTAATCCAGCAATCACTAGCTCTGGCGGTCTTCAGCTGCGACCCAGCGACCCCACGTGTTCAGAAGGTATTGCTAATGTAGATTTCCCATTGACCTGCTTCCTTCAGTTTCCACACAGAGTCACTGGTGTAATGCAGCTTGCTTCTGCCACCCATGCCAAGTGGGTTGCAGATTGTACCACAAATCTGTTTTGGCACGCAATTTCAGGTCTGACGTTGATACTGATTGATGTCGGCCCCACACTGCACCTCATTTACAGATTCAGTGTGGGGCTAATGCAGATTGTGATATGGGTCTTTTAATTGTGCATTGCCCAGTTTAGCCTTGTACAGATTAAATTATGCAGCAGATCAGTGTTGACCCCTTCTCTCATGCGTGCACTTGGGAACTGTTGATTTAAGAATGTGTTATGGACATGTAACACAGTAAATGTGCAAATGTAATATTGTTAGAGCGAGTGCTTCAAATATCTCATGCACCAGCTATATAAAGCTGGAGGGTTGTATGTGTTTGTGGCTCACGTCCCTAGGGGTGTGAGCAGAGGTTGTTAGTTACTGTCAACTCTCAAAAAATATTTCACAAATCAAGCAAAGAAGTTATGGTTGAAACATCCCTTTAAGCTGTTTCCCGTTTGCCTCTAAATGTTTGTTTTGTCTCCCAGGTATGACCTTCCTCAGTATGGCAGTCGCAGGAAGCTGATTTCTCCCATGTATGATGAGTATGGAGAGCTGATTATGGAGGATGACTACTACACCCCCCATGGGTCTGAGGTACTTATTTTACTATATGTATCAACACTTTGATATGATCAACAATTTGATTTTGATTAACAATACTATATATCAATGATTATGATTTAAGCACACATATGATGTTCAGGGGATCAAGTTATCATAGAGTTAGTTAACCACTACACTGCATAACTATAATAACTACCCACTACATAGCTACAATAATGCAATAACAGAGTTCCAATTTCAACTATATAATGTTGTCTGAACTATGTTGATGCTGAAAATCTTGTTGAATCACAAGTGATGTAACTGTGGCAGGGGCGAGGCAGAGGGCGTGGAAGGGGTACTGATCGAGGAGGCAAGAGGGTGGGATTCAGAGACCTTCCACCAGAGGATGAGATCGAGCAGGCAGAGCCAGTGGAGGGCGAGGAACCCCGTGAACCCTCCTCGGCTGCCAAGAGGCTGAAGTCCGTCATGAAGCTCAGCAAGCTGCTAGCGGCCAGTAAGAGTGGAGACCAGACTGCTCCAGCCGGAGAACCAGGCCCATCCCCCTGGAAGAAGGCCAAGATGTTCAAGATGTTTGGCGCCAAGAAGGACAAGGACTACGCCAAACTGATGTCGGCCCGCCGCATCGACAGCCAGGAGAGTCTGACGGGGGGACCTGCCAGTGATGGTCCGATAGACACCAAGTCCACCGCCAGGAGCCGGCTGGGCAAGGTGATGAAGCGCATCAACCTGAGCAACAGGCTGCAGGCAAGGAGGAAATCTCAGGGAAGCATTAGTCGAAGCTCTGCCACAGGTAGCGAGAAGAATGAAGATGCCTCGCAAGCTGCCACCAGTGATGAGGAGAAGAAGTCCAAGGTGTCTATCAGCGTGACGGTGGAGAGCGAGCCGGAGGCGAGTGGAAGCGGGAGTGGGAGTGGAAGTGGGAAGGGTTCTGATGAGGATTCAGAGAGAAGCAGTGTGGCGCTTTCCACTGAGGACAAAGATTACCTGAAGGTGGATCTGGACCGAGACGATACCAATGAAAGCACTGTAGACTCAGAAGAGGAGCCAGAGGAGCACCCAGAGGATTCTGATGATGAGAGCAAATCCAAGTCAGAGGGTGACGAGACAGAGAAGGAATCTGGCACTGAAATGGAATCGGGGACAGAAAAAGAGTCTGATTCAGAAAAAGAGTCAGGCTCAGAGAAAACATCTGGGACAGAAAAGGAATCAGGATCAGAGAAAGGTTCTGATTCAGAGAAAGGTTCTGACTCAGAGAATGAATCTGATTCTGAGAAAGAATCTGATAGTGGGAAAGAGTCAGGGACAGAGAAAGAGTCAGGAACTGAAAAGTCAGGAACTGAATCCAGTACAGAGAAAGGATCTGGGACTGAGAAAGATTCAGAGGAAGAGTCTGAAGAGGATGAGGGGACTGGGGAGTCCAAAGAAAGTGGATCCTCTGCCCGTTCTTCCAATAAATCATCTGGGACTGCTACTGAAAGGTCCAGTGGAGGGACACAAGGCAGCATGAGGAGCAGTGCCTCTGGCATCAGCGGAAGTGGAAGTGCTAGTGACGCTGGTAGCGTTAGTGGCAGTGGTAGCGTTGGTGGCAGTGGTAGCATAGGTGGCAGTGGTAGTGTTGGTGGCAGTGGTAGCGTTAGTGGCAGTGGTAGCGTCAGTGGCAGTGGTAGCGTTAGTGGCAGTGGTAGCGTTAGTGGCAGTGGTAGCGTTAGTGGCAGTGGTAGCGTAGGTGGCAGTGGTAGCGTTAGTGGCAGTGGTAGCGTAGGTGGCAGTGGTAGTGTTGGTGGTAGTGGTAGTGGCTCAAGCAGTGCTGCTTCCCAGCCTGGTTCTTCCATAAGATCGTCACAAAGTGCCGGCGGCTCAGAGATGTCCAGGCCAGGAAGTGAGGGGGTCAGTGAAGGGGAGTCAGGGTCGGGAAGCTCGGTGTACAGCGGAGGCAGCCAGATCCAGCTCTCTGGATCAGAGGTCAGCGAGTCCGAGGATAACCAGCTGACGGACCAAAGCTCCCTGGCGGGCAGCGAGAGGAGCTCCACCAGCTCCAGGTCCACTGGAGGCAGCCGCAAGTCCATCCTGACCTGCAGTTCACAGGACACCATCGATGAGGAGAGTGAAGAGGAGGACAAAGGAGAATCTGAGGAGGAAGTTGATACCGCCGATGAGAGAAAAGAGTCTGCGGAGGAGCTGAGTGACGGAGCAGCATCCAGGAGGTCCAGCTTATTGTCTGCTGGAGAAGGGCCCAGCCATAGTCCCTACGCTGGAACTCCCTACGCCTCAGACTCCAGCAACAGCCTGACAGAGGCCTCAGAGGAGACCTTCGGAGGACTCTCTCCCATCACAGAGGTGGACGAGGACGCCATCACACCATCTGAGAAATCGTCTGAGTCTGACGCCAGTAGCCAGAGGTCAGCTGGTAGATCCCAGTCTGGAGCCACGGAGGAGACCTCCGATACCGATTCAGAGTCTGACGGGAACGCCACAGCCTTCTGAGGAACGAGTTGGTCAGCTGTGAAGTAAGATTGGCTGGAGTCGCCTCTCGCATGGGAGTGAAGAGAATACTGTGTGCTTCCTCCTGAGTGTTTAATTCTCTCTACCTCTCTCTATCTCTTGGAAAATACTTATTGCATGGAAGTGGAATGGGTTGTTCTCTTTTCAATGGTGTTGAACCACACTTTGTGGCATCTTTGTATTTTCTCTCTTTCACATTTTTTGGTTGTGCTCAAAATTTATCTTCAACAAATTGCACATTGTGTCTCTTTACTTATAGCCATATGATGACCATAACATAGCAGTGCTATAATCATGTTTACAGAGTTGTGTGTTTCCTATCCTGTTACTGTTATAGATTTAAAATGACTTGTACATTGATTGGCATACTTTTATCTATGATCTGTTTGGATGCATGATGTTTGAATATATGGAAATACTATTTTATCTGTGCATTAACCTAATCTTTCTCTCTCCATCTTTCTTTCCATATTTTATTCTCAGTCTGGAGTGAGAAGGAAGCGGATCAAGCTGGTGGTGGACAGGGAGTATGAGACCAGCTCCACGGGAGAGGACAGCGCTCCTGAACCCCAAAGGAACCGCATGTCTAACATCAACAGCCACGCTAACATCAACGGGAACGTCTACCTCGCCCAGAACGGGACAATTGTGCGGACCAGGAGGCCTGGCCACCCCAACAACCTCAAGGTGGGCTCCCCGGGCCGCTTGGGCAAACAGTTTAAAAAGTTGGACATGCTGACTGAGACTCAGGAAGATAAGCTTCCTCTGAACAGCGTGGGGGAACCAGTAACAGGAAATGGAACAGGTACACTTACGGGCGTTTCCTCAATCGTTGACATTAACCTCAACACCCGGCCATCCAGCGGGTCCCTGGGGTCCAGCATCACGGGCCTTGACAGTATTGGGTCCAAATCCAATATTGCCAAGGCCCTACATGACAGGAACAGCAGGAGTAACTGTTGTGTAGACGAGCAGGAGTCGTGTGTGGACAACATGGCGTCGAAAGAAACGTTGACGTCCCACAGTGACCACACACTGTCGGATGAGGAGGAGCTGTGGATGGGGCCTTGGAACAGCCTGCACATACCAATGACTAAATTATGACACATGGACTGCTGAGAGTTTGTATTTTTCTGTTGACAAAGTTGACCATGCTTTTAATGGGTTGAGATATAAAGCAACAAATGATTGTATGCCTCTGCTGCATAAGCACCAATCACTGTCCAAGACTAGCAGTGTGATTGCGCTAACGGTATTATTTCACTAATCTTATGAATGATTTGATGACTTTTGATATGGTGATGTTTCATGTGTCAAATACAGTTGAAGTCAGAAGTTTACATACACTTAGGTTAGAGTCATTAAAACTCGTTTTTCAACCACTCAACACATTTCTTGCTAACAAACTGTAGTTTTGGCAAGTCGGTTAGGACATCTACTTTGTGCATGACACAAGTAATTTTTCCCACAATTGTTTACAGACAGATTATTTCACATATAATTCACTGTATCACAATTCCAGTGGGTCAGACGTTTACATACGCTAAGTTGACTGTACCTTTAAACAGCTTGGAAAATTCCAGAAAAGTATGTCATGGCTTTAGAAGCTTCTGATAGGCTAATTGACATAATTTGAGTAAATTGGAGGTGTACCTGTGGATGTATTTCAAGGCCTACCTTCAAACTCAGTGCCGCTTTGCTTGACATCATGGGAAAATCAAAAGAAATCAGCCAAGTCTGGTTCATCCTTGGGAGCAATTTCCAAACGCCTGAAGGTACCACGTTCATCGGTACAAACAATAGTATGCAAGTATAAACACCATGGGACCATGCAGCCGTCATACTGCTCAGGAAGGAAACGCGTTCTGTCTCCTAGAGATGAACGTACTTTGTGGAAATCAATCCCAGAACAACAGCAAAGGACCTTGTGAAGATGCTGGAGGAAACAGGTACAAAAGTATCTATATCCACAGTAAAATGAGTCCTATATCGACATAACCTGAAAGGCCGCTCAGCAAGGAAGAAGCCACTGCTCAAAAACCTCCATAAAAAAGCCAGACTACGGTTTGCAAGAAATATCCTCTGGTCTGATGAAACTAAAATAGAACTGTTTGGCCATAATGACCATCGTTATGTTTGGAGGAAAAAGGGGGATGCTTGCAAGCCGAAGAACACCATCCCAACCGTGAAGCACGGGGGTAGCAGCATCATGCTGTGGGGGTCCTTTGCTGCAGGAGGGACTGGTGCACTTCACAAAATAGATGGCATCATGAGGAAGGACAATTATGTGGATATATTGAAGCAACATCTCAAGACATCAGTCAGGAAGTTAAAGCTTGGTCACAAATGGGTCTTCCAAATGGACAATGACCCCAAGCATACTTCCAAAGTTGTGGCAAATTGGCTTAAGGACAACAAAGTCAAGGTATTGGAGTGGCCATCACAAAGCCCTGACCTCAATACTATAGAAAATGTGTGGGCAGAACTGAAAAAGCATGTGCGAGCAAGGAGGCCTACAAACCTGACTCAGTTACACCAGCTATGTCAGGAGGAACGGGCCAAAATTCACCCAAGTTATTGTGGGAAGCTTGTGGAAGGCTACCCGAAACATTTGACCCAAGTTAAACAATTTAAAGGCAATGCTACCAAATACCAATTGAGTATATGTAAACTTCTGACCCACTGGGAATCTGATGAAAGAAATAAAAGCTGAAATAAATAATTCTCTCTACTATTATTCTGACATTTCACATTCTTAAAATAAAGTGGTGATCCTAACTGACCTAAGACAGTGAATTTTTACTAGGATTTTAGAGTTTAAATGTATTTTGCTAAGGTGTATGTAAACTTCCGACTTCAACTGTACACATCCCTGATAGGGCTATTATAGAATCGGTCAACTTGCTGTGAAGCAATGCTTGTCTCAAAAAATGTATGAAAAGTAATGAATGGTGATTGGAATTATCCCTAAAATTTACCTTGAAGACCTTTGTCTCGCTGGATGTTGCATAATATTTATAAGTATTATCTTGATTTAGAGGTGAAGGGTGTCTGGAGCCCAGATACTTTATAATACAGATACATATAATTATGATAATTAAGAAAAATAAATGTATTTTATTTGTAAATAATTATATATTCTGGTTGATTGTTTTATGTTTGAATCATTTCTAATAATTTTTTGAAATCTTATCAGAAAGTTTATGGAATTATTGTTGTCTTTAATATCGATCCGAGTATGGGGGGGAATGTTGGACTTGTAACCTATGGCACAGAAGTAATGCAAACATCTTTGTCAATATTTCAACAAAGAAATATGTTAATATTGTCATTATATAAACGATGTTGTTTTTAACAGACATTTGTATCTACATGATGTGGGATTTTCAGTCCCTTAAAACTGGATGCAAAACCATTCTGTTTGAGATCATTTCTAAATACATCAGGTCCCTGCTGATGGGAAAACACTACCAAATAATTTATAAATCTCAACAATAAAGTTTTAACATGCAATTCTTTGGAGAACTGGCATGAATGAAGTAGCACAACATCTGCAGGTAACTCATGTCAAGACACAGGTATTGTGTAGAATGCTGTTTACAAAGGCCCAATATTGAACTCTGAAAAAGTACAACTTGAGTGACTTTGGCAAGGACATTTTAAATTCATCCCTGTGGGTTTCATTCAGTACACTCAACATAAATCGTTTTTGTTGTCCCCATTAGCTGGTGATCTGAAAATAAGTTTGCAGTATTTGAGAAACGTAAGAGTATGTTTCTAAGGCATCCTCCTTATCATATTGAATGACTTGGGAAAGGCAATTGTATATGATATTAAATGCTAATGATCTTTGATAAGCTTGACTTTCTACCTATAAGTCATCTGCCAATTTATCTCCGGACAATTGGAATTCCAGACTATAAAGAGATGGGGTAATGTGGAGAGAGAACGGAAGTGTAAACATTATGAAGATTGAGAGATTAACCTCTTCTGAAAACCCATCATTCAGAATCTCCTCCGCTGTCATATCAAACTGTCCGCCGATTATTCAAGATTTTTTCTTTCTTTTTAAAAACATTCCATTACGGCAGCTCATAACATCCAGTTCCAGCCTCCCAAATCAGTTTTATTAAAGTGAGTGTCACTCTCACAGTAATAGTGTTATGACTGCCTCTGTTGGGTAAGGGCTTCTGGCAAGAGCATTATCAAGTAGCCTGCCTGTTTATTTGTCTCAATTTTTTTATTAATTATTGTTAATCACAAATTCATCTCTTACCTTTAAATATTTAAGTCTATAACCACATTGCAATTGTCATGTGTTAGCCTGCTGGATATACACTGAGTGTACAAAACATTATGAACACCTGCTCTTTTCATGACATAGACTGACCGGGTGAATACAGGTGAAATCTATGATCCCTTATTGATGTCACTTGTTAAATCCACTTCAACCAGTGTAGATGAAGGGGAGGAGACTGGTTAAGAAGGATTTTTAAGCCTTGAGACCATTGAGACATGGATTGTGTGTGTGTGCCATTCAGATGGTGAATGGGCAAGACAAAATATTTAAGTGCCTCTGAACGGGGTATGGTAGTAGACGCCAGGCGCACCAGTTTGTGTCAAGAACTGCAACGCTGCTGGGGTTTTAACGCTCAACTGTTTCGCGTGTGTATCAAGAATGGTCCACACCCAAAGGACATCCATTCAACTTGACACAACTGTGGGAAGCATTGGAGTCAACATGGGCCAGCATCCCTGTGGAACACTTTCGACACCTTGTAAAGTCCATGGCCCGACGAATTGAGGTTGTTCTGAGGTCAACTCAATATATATGTTATGTTTCGTGCTTTACTCGTTAGGCCTCCTGTAGCTCAGTTGGTAGAGCATGGCGCTTGCAACGACAGGATTGTGGGTTCGATTCCCACGGGGGGCCAGTATGAAAAATGTATGCTCTCACTAACTGTAAGTCGCTGTGGATAAGAGCGTCTGCTAAATGACTAAAATGTAAATATCTGAGAATTCTCTAGAGCGTGCTCTGTCCCTACAGCCACAAGATGGCGCCTAAGGCTTTATACTGAAACAGACTACTGGCCCACCTTATTACTGCCAAACCATGAAATTACACAATACTACTAATATAAAAAATTTGGACTATCTATCTAAACAAAACAGAAAAGTTATAATATGTTACTATTTACCTATTTATATTTTTGGGGATACTTCATGAACACACTAAATATATTAAATATTTGTTGTAAATGCTGCCAATTTAGCTAGTATTTGTGGACTATGAGTATTAACATAGTTTATTATTATTGTTAGATAGTCTAGGATTGCTGCTTCCTTATAGCTGGATGCAATGCTGATCAATACCAATACACTGCATAGTTGGATGCAATGCTGATCAATACCAATACACTGCATAGTTGGATGCAATGCTGATCAATACCAATACACTGCATAGTTGCTGTACTGTTGATGTGAAGGGCTACTTTTCACCACTAAATGGAGACATACTATATCTGAGCTACAGTGATGATGAAGCAAATTAATTCAAGCATTTTATTATCAAAATACTTTGCTATCAACAATTCAAATGAACTGAAAGGGATGAGGAATGTAATTGACAAAATGGTAGATGTATCTAAGTATGTTTTGTCTAGGTGTGTTGGTGGGTGGGTAGGTCACAGTATTTAACTGTAGTGTTTATGTGTTCATGCACATACATGTAGGTTAATGTTGTAATATTCTTCATGCAGTTCTGGTCTGTCTGAACATGTGATGTTTTCTGTATATGCCTCAGTGTTGAGAAACATCACGTTCCAGGGAATGTTCGGGATGTGAGCTGGTTTTGTTCCAGGTTTTGTAAAGATTGCAAAGTTGTTCACGTTAAGTATATTTCTTCATGAACATAAATATAGCTGAACTTAATTATGTTGGTCTGGTAGGAAGATATGATTTAAAAAAAGACACTCAAAAAAAAAAAAAGACACTCAACTTGCCCTGCCCCAGAAAAGAACTTGGGAATACAGAGATACAGAAAATGGAAGCTACTCTGGGCAGACTAATTATAGCTGAAATTATTTGGATATTGCTGTAATGTG